TGAATGAATGAATGAATGAATGAATGAATGAATGAATGAATGAATGAATGAATGAATGATGGATGATCCATTGATCTTAGATGAACTTCAAGCCCTAACAAGGGTCCATCCAGAGTACTGGGAATGCAGTGTTGTGTTTCACTGAAACATTCAAGGTTCTTTATTGTCATTCATACCACATGTGGTACATGTGGTGGAACAAAAGTGTGTACACAGGGTCCCAGTTACATCCAACAAAAGTATTAAAATGTAAAAAGAAAAACAGTAATAAGATCAAAGATATGAACTAAGAAAAACATTAACTAAAAATACGCTAAACACTAATAGCATAAAAGCAATACGCTGAACAGCAGAACGAACATGGTTTCTCTCTTTGAAGCACAAACATATCTTCGCCTTCTTGTCTTTCTTGAAACAACCTTCCATCTGCATCAATTTTTTTCTTCCTGGGCATTTTGGGATCATTGTTTCTACTTCTCAATTCCACTTGTTCGGAAAATTGTATCAATGTGGAAAAACTGCAATCTAGTTGTGGGATGCCGTTACTTTGCAGGTAACATAATCTGCATGTATTATGGCAAATGTAGATTGTTGTCAGTGCACCCTTTTGACATTTATTATACGACAATCAGACCTTTGAAGCTCTCGCGGGCCACATGAAATGATGTGGCAGGCCACATGTGGCCCGCGGGCCTTGAGTTTGACACATATGGCTTAGTGGTTAGCACTGTTGCCTCATAGCTAAATGGTAAATGGACTGTACTTATACAGCACCTTTCTATCTTATTTCAAGACACTCAAAGCGCTTTACACTACAATCTGTGCCTCATTTACCCATTCATACAGCTCTATACTAGATCTCTACAAAGATAATTGAACAAATGATTCTAAAGAGACTAATCAGAGCTTTAGATCACATTCATACACCGATGGGACACACATCAGAGGCTATGAGGGGTTCAGTGTCTTGCCCGGGGACACTTCAGCACGTGACTGCTGGTGGATTCGAACACCCAACTCTTGCATTGGAGGACGACTGCTCTAACCACTCAGCCACAGCCGCCCCATGGACCCCAAGGTCCAAGGTTCAATCCCCGGTTTGGACCTGGGGTCTTTCTGTGTGGAGTTTGCCTGTTGTTCTTAGGTTCATGTAGGTTTTCTCTGGCTACACCAGTTTCTTCCCACAGTCTAAAACATGCATGTTAGGCTGCCTTCAGGCCCAGGCCTCCCTCGCAAAAAGAGATATATCTCAATGGGATTTGCCTGGTTAAATAAAGATAAACAAACAAACAAATAAATAAGAGATATAAAGAGGCTCTCACCAGTTGTTCAGCCTTAGCTACAGAACATCAAAAAATACTGTCAAATACAGCTACATTTGAGTATTTTATCAGTATTTGTTAGGTGTGAAGAATACTTTTTTCCCATTTTAAATTGTTTAATCATTCTCTAATTCAATATATGGAAATCTGCTAATTAGTATATTAATAAAAAGTCTTACAGAAAAACAGACAATTTGCCTAAAGATAAAATTAGTTCTTTTTAAAAACTTGTAAAGCTTATAAAAGTTTTGTGACAAAACTCAGTGAAACTCACTTTGTACCAGTTGAGGGATGAAGGGATGTTGTAGCTGTTCAGTTTATCAATATAGTCCCTCAGAGGACAGTTCAGGGTGTCGGACACTCCTTTGGTAAGGTCCTGACTGGTTTTCATTGGCCTTCCACACTCTCCAGACACCGGCAGGTCCACCTCCAGCTTAGTGGACTGCATGTAGCACTTGGAAGGAGTTCTGAGGGAGGAAATAATTCAATAAGTCATCAAGTAGACACCAGCAGTCTCTGTCGAAACACAAGTCGTCCATTTGTATTGTTGTTCATTCAAAATTATTAATAAGGAAGTGTGACTGTTTTTATGTTTGGTTTATTAGACAGACAGTAACATAATCTGTAAAATAAAACGTATTTTGCTTTTCTCGTTAGAGCAGAAAATTATAAACGATTAATGTCCCTTCAGTGTGCAAATTTTAAATAAACAAAGCCTTTAGTTGTTAGTGGATAGATTTCAACACCATGGTGTTATTACAGAATACTGATTGTATGGTACAATATGATGATGAATATATAAGCACATTTTCTTTGTGGGTCACACAAAATGATGGTGAGGTGCATGTTTTGGATATTTTATTTTCCCTTCCGTCTCATAAAATTTTGCAAAGTAAAAAAAAAAAAAACAACAATTAACCATCATTCAAGGTTTTGCACAATAAATCTGCCTCTCAAATACAGAATGTACCTGTTTACTTTATGCTGATAATAAATGGCAACGTGACCATGTTTTATCATTAACTCCATCCTGATGTGTTATCCTTTAAAAAAATTGTAAAGCATTGCTAAATAAGTCTAACAAGGTTAAGTCGGGTCCTCTGGATGGATTTTTTTCTTGTTGTCTTTTAAAAAAAAATCAACAAGAAGAATCTGTCCAGATGATCTGATTTAACCCTGCTAGATTTATCTACATGGATTACAGAGGAGATCAGGAGATTACTAAACATGATTTCCACATTTGATAACATACTGCAGTATCATCACGTATTCCCCAGCATCCTCCAGTGTTGTGTGAAGGAACCACAGAGTCTCCCTGACCACCAGAACCTGACCCGTCTGGTTGCTCATCTCCTGTCCTGTTTCTGAGTTGTACCAGGTGATGTTGTATGGGACAGCCGTAAAGTTGAGGACATCTGGAGAGAGCAGGGTGCTGTTTAGCATGGCCACCTCCCCAGGAACAGAGAAGACTCTTTCAAACTGCAGCTTATAATTGTGGCATTTCACTGCAACACACACACACACACACACACACACACACACACACACACGCACACACACACACGCACACAGAGAGAGAGAGAGAGATGTGAGTCTAATTATTTGTTGTTAATATCATGTCTAAGCAAAGTTCTTAATGTCCACGTTAACTTTAATACATTCAGAGTAAATTTGCTCAACTTTGAATCAATCTAATTTGTTAAAGACTAACATGGTTGCAACACAACATGTTTGTGTTCATGTGTAAATTGCAACATTCCCACAACATTTTCCGATCTATAATGTAGTGTAATACGAAAGCATCTAATTTACCAACTGACCTAAACATTTGTGTGTTGAAAGGCATGCACTGTCTATTTTTAGGGAGAATATTTAGTTAAATATTAAAGTGTTTATTAAATATTTGTAAAATAATGATTCGGTATTCAAGTTGTTCTGTAGTTACAGGTTTGTCCACAAGAGGGCAATCAAACTTCCACAGGAGGGACTGAGTTCATTATGAAACAGCATGAATTAAAGTACTTGTAAAGTACTTCTGACATGTAGCCACATGTCTGTATTTCTGGTTTTGTTGATTAAAAAAAAAGAAGTTGTGTGACTGAGCTCACTTTGTGTAAAACCTGCCCAGATTCCTGACATCCAGAGGAGAAACAGAAGACTTCCCAGTGCTGAATTCAGGCCCATTGCTGGAAAAACAAACATAAAACATGAACAAATGAACAGAAGTTAAGATAAAATCATTACTGGCAACACAACAGCCCATTATAAAAATGAACATTTTAGAAATGTGTTTTCTCTTTAGTCTAAACATTGCTGTATCTACATTATTATTTTAAACATGTCCTTCTGTCTCAGTATCAGTTCCTGTCTCCCACATTCTTCTAGCTCTTTCCCTCACCCATACATGACTAGCCTTCCTGTATTTGATTAGTCACTGTAGAAACCTCAAACAAAATACACTGTAATGTTCTGTAATGGACTTAAAGAACTCCTAATATTGTTGGATGGTGACTAAAACATGAGTCTTCTCAGCTGGTTCTGTAAAATCTGTAAAACCTTGGTAGGAAAATTTATTTTGCACCAGACTGCACAAACCTCAAAGTTTGCTGCTCATCTTGCAGCTGTTACTTAGATGTACTTGTAGGATCTGACTACCATTTCTAGATCTGGATACAGCTAGAAAAGATGAGCTATTTGCTACATTCAAACAAACGTTTCTTCAGCAGACAGTAGTTGATTCTATCCAACCACATCTGTTATTCACATGCAATCACAATGTTGACTACAAAGCTGCTGCAGCCATCCGTCTCTCCATTTTCGTCTGTTTATTCTTTTTATTATTTTTTCAGGTTTGGGCACATCAAATACAGGAAAGACAACGCAGACATCCTTCTCCCCTGCAACACTCTCCAGCTCCCATTTAATGATCCCAAGGAATTTCCGAGCCAGAAAAGAAAAATGATCAAATAAGCCTGGACTTTGTTGTTTTCAACCAGTTTGACACGACTGTCAACAAGGAAGAGGGCCGGCAATGGAGGAGGGGGCGTACCAAAGAGACCATCTTAGCACCAACAAAACTGGTTTGTTCCACTTTGGAGTAAGCTGTTGGGGTCAGTTTTCAATCAGTTTTGTTGTGTGTTTCCTTGACTGATGAAGCCTTCCGGATCGAAGGCGAAACGTTTCAGCACAAAATAAAGAAGCTGTCCAGATGACCTGACTGAAAAATGTTGGATCAAATAAGCCCTTCACAGAATTTTTCGGGTCTGCCAAGACTTTGCTCTTAGTGGGATCAACCTGGACAACTTCCAGAGCGGAGTGTCCAGAAGGCATCAGATGCCAGAACCACCCCCAGCTGACTCCTTTTGATGTGAAGGAGCATCTACTCGAAGCTCCCCCTGAATGACAGATCTTTACAACCTCACCTACTTCACTCTCAGTTTTCAGTTTTAAGTGTGAAGCAGCCAGGATGAGTCAGCTCCTCAATGTCTGAGGATTTGTGGTTCTTCACGAGAAAAACATACAGCACTTTCTCTCTGGGTCAGGAGGTAAGGAGGTCTGACCAGGACTCTGTGGTCTACTACACTCGTCTGCAGGCCAGCGGTTACTATTTCAGGGATGAAGATGTTCACATCCTTGATAGAAAAACTGGTTTGAGAGGAGTGAAGGAAGCCATCTTTGTGAAGAGAAACCGCCCATCATTAAACATAGGCGGAGGTCTCTGTGTTAAACTGTCCCCCTCTTACAATCCTGTTATTGTTAGTATCACTCAGCCCCCCTGTGAATAGCAAGTGGCCATTGGGGCACTAACAATCAGTTGCTAGGCTGATGGTCCTTCTTTATCATGTGAACAGCTAGTTCTGGATGTCTCCAGCAAACTGGTTGATCCATTATGAGAAGGTGTTTTTTTATAAGACTGAGTTTGTTGCAGCTCCTCAGACTGAAAAAGTATTTTGGATAAAATACGAAATGTTTCAACAAAGAAGAATGTGTCCAGAGGAAACAACTCTACTTCATTAGATTCAAGAGTGAAGGTACGGGTGGAGTGCAAGATAGACTAACGCATCAGGACTCTGTCTTCTGTAATGAGGGTGTTTGTCCGGTCTGTCTTGGTGAAGAAGTTACGCCTAAAGATAAAGCTTTTAATTATTGGTTTGTCTAGTTTCACTTGTTGTCATAAGGCATGAATCACAAAAAAAATAAATAGATAAATAAATAAATAAATAAATAAATAAATAAATATCTCTCTCTCTCTCTCTCTCTCTCTCTCTCTCTCTCTCTATATATATATATATATATATATATATATATATATATATATATATATCTTGGCTATAAATGTTTTTAAATGTTTTGTCTCAAAGAATAGTTCATTTGTAAATGATTTTGAAATGATTAACATTTCTAAAGATGTTGTGGGTGTTTACTATGCCACTTCATATTTTCATATTTATGTACACAGGTTCCCAGTTACATCCAACAATAGCAAAAATATAAATTGTAAAAAGAAACTGTAAATAAGGATCTTCGCTATACACAACAAAAAGATATATGCTAATGCAAAACAATACGGCGTAAGAACACTAGGGCAAATATGAGAGTGTGAACAGATGAGTACAAATGAATACAGCAGCACATATCAACAATTAAAGTGGCATTACAGTGATTATTTCACAGTGATTATACTGGTTAGGGATTTATGAGTCTAACAGCTTCAGGGAAGAAGCTGTTCCTCAGTCTAGTGGTTCTACACTTAATGCTCCTTAACCTCCTGCCTGAGTGGAGTGGGGAAAAAAATGTGTGTGTGCTGGGTGAGTGTGGTCCTTCATGATTCTTGTATAGTTAGGTGTATATGTCTGTGATGGTGGGGAGGCTGACTCCAAGTCTTCTGTGCAGCCTCCACCACTCTCTACAAAGTTTTTCTTCCTGCAGTTGTGCAGCCTCCATGCTACACATTGATGATGGAGCACATGATGCTCTCCACTGCACACCTGTAGAAAGACTGAGCTTCCCAGACCAGCTTTCCTCAGCCACCTGAGGAAGTAGCGTCTCTGATGAGCTTTCTTGATCAGGATGGTGGTGTTGTTGCCCCCAGCTCAGGTTGTCATTCAGGTGCACACCCAAGTACTTGCAGCTGGAGACCACTTCCACAGCAGATCCTATGCTTGGGGGAGGGGTGTGGATGTTTGTTCCTTCTGAAGTCCACAATCATCTCCTTCGTCTTCTTCACATTGATGTGAAGGTGGTTCTTCTTGCACCAGCTCTCCAGGTGTTCCACCTTCTGCCAGTAGCTGGACTCATCGTTGTTTGTGATGTATCCTACCACCACTGTATCATCTGTAAACTTTACAATATGACAACCTGGATGGGTAGGTGCACCGTCATAAATGAGCAGGACGAACAGGAGGGGGCTCAACACACATCCCTTAGGGGAGACAGTGCTGAGGTTTATGGTGGAGTAGGAGAACAAAGTTGTGGATCCTCACAGACTGCGGTCTGTTTGTTAATAAGTCCAGACTGACTGATTACAAGACTGAGGACTCCTGTGATGCTAATTACAGGACACACCTTACTTTATCATTTACCTGGTCAGATTAGTTTCAATCTGGGTACCATCCTTTTTGTCAAGGCAAGTTCACTTATTTATTTTTTAATCTGGTGCAAAAGTCTTAAAATTCAATTGCAATGATTTATTTTCATCAGTTGATTTTTTTAAATGTTTTACTTTTATTAGTTTCCATCCATCCATCATCCATCCATTATCTTCTGCTTATTCCAAAGTCGGGTCGCGGGTGCAGCAGCTTGAGCAGGGAGGCCCAGACATCCCTTTCCACAGCCACCTCTTCCAGTTCTTCTGGGAGGATTCCAAGGCGTTCCCAGGCCAACCGAGAGACTTACTCTCCAGCGTGTTCTGGGTCTTCCCCGGGGTCTCCTCCCAGTTGGACATGCCCAAAGCACCTCTTTAGGGAGGCGCCATGGGGGCATCCTTACCAGATGCCCGAACCACCTCAACTGGCTCCTCTCGACATGAAGGAGTAGCGGCTCTACTTCGAGTCTCTCCCAGATAATTGAACCGAACCCGAACCCTATCTCTAAGGGAGAGTCCAGCTACCCTGCGGAGAAAACTCGTTTCAACCGCCTGTATCTGCGATCTCATTCTTTCGGTCACTACCCAGAGCTCATGACCATAGGTGAGGGTAGGAACATAGACCAACTGGTAAACAGAGAGCTTTGCCTTACAGTTCAGCTCTCTCTTCACTACAACGGACCGGAACAGAGTCCGCAATACTGCAGATGCTCCACCAATTCGTCTGTCAATCTCACGCTCCATTCTTCCCTCACTTGTGAACAAAATCCCGAGATACTTGAACTCCACTTGAGGCAGAACCTCACCCTCGATTTGAAGAGAGCAATCCACCCTTTTCCGGTTGAGGACCATGGCCTCAGATTTGGAGGTGCTGATTCTCATCCCAGTCGCTTCACACTCAGCTGCGAACCGCTCCAGTGAGAGCTGAAGATCATGGCATGATGACGCCAACAGGACCACATCATTTGCAAAGAGCAGAGATGGAATCCTGAGACCACCGAACCAGAAACCCTCTGCCAGCTGGCCGCACTGAAAAATTCTGTCCATAAAAGTTATGAACAGAATTGGTGACAATGGACAGCCCTGGCGGAGTCCAACTCCCACCCTGAAGGGGTCCGACTTACTGCTAGCAATGCGAACCAAACTCTCGCACCACTTGTATAGGGACTAAAAAGCCCGCAACAACGGGTCTCCAATCTCATCCTCACTGAGCACCCCCCACAGTGTACCCCAAGGAACACAGTTGAATGCCTTCTCCAAGTCCACAAAACACATGTAGACTGGATGGGCAAACTCCCATGATCCCTCAAGGACCCTAGTGAGGGTAAAGAGCTGATCCAGTGTTCCACGGCCAGGACGGAACCCACATTGTTCCTCCTGGATCTGAGGTTTGACCAACGATCGGACTCGCTTCTCCAGTACCCCTGAATAGACCTTACCAGGGAGGCTAAGGAGAGTGAGGCCCCTATAATTGGAGCACACCCTCTGGTCCCCCTTTTTGAAGAGGGGAACCACCACCCCAGTCTGCCAATCCAGTGGCACTGTCCCCGATGTCCACGTGACGTTGCAACGGCGTGTCAGCCAAGACAGCCCCACAACA